TAGAAGAGTGGCTTAAAAGCTCCTTTAAGCCATCAAATTTCCCTTTATTTACACGAGATTAAGATTTATTTTAGGGGATTCCACTAATAGACAGATTGGATAAGAATCTTACTCCTGCACCGGAACTCTTGCTTCTTGGCCAAGAGAGGCTTCTCGCTGCAATCGATTCCTAACATCTGATCGGCGATTGTGAAAAAAGAATAGGAGTCCTTTATCCTTCGGTCAATAAGAGTAATTATTCCCTCTAGTAGGTCAGTCAGTCTTTAAATGTGTTGCATAGAATAGAAGAGAAAGAGACAGTCTTTACTCCTTAGTCTGCCGCTATCTTTCATCACTTAATTGCCTTATCTTTTCTTTTTCTGTTGTAAATGTAAATCGGACGGCCATTTGTTAGGATCTTATCACCGTAACCAGTAATAGGCTTATCTTCCGTTTCATTCGCATTATCGTGAGCGGGTCTGGTGAACTACCCTTTCACTGGTTCTAGCTACTATTGGATTTGAACCAAGAAAGTCTTCCAACTCTGCCTTTTAGGGTAAGATACCTTGGCTTTCAGTTGCAGTACTGGTCATTGGCGACCTTGGGACGCATCTCAAGTGTACTGGGCACCCCCTCTTTGCTTATAGACTCAGCACAGAAAAAGCAAGGCTCTCCTTTGAGATCAGGATGTTCTACCGCTTTTCCCATGGAAGGCATATACTACTGATAGTAGTCCGCTTTATGAAAGTCCCATAAAATCTAACTTCGTGGCAACGACATCCATCCAACGAGATATGCTTCGAGTAACATTCCCCGATCTTAAATTTCGTTAGTGAGCTGGTTTGGTCTATCCTTTCACTTAACCGAAAGCATACACTCGATAGGGTTTCTTATCAAATGGGTTGGTTTATTAGCGCACTCACGCCAAGTGCTACCGCCTCATCCTGGTGAGGCATCCCAAGCCCCTGTAACATTGGGCTTTTTGCGTCCTTCTGCCCTGGGATAGTTGGGCCGGGCCTGGTAACTGCCGCTTCGATCAAGCGTTAAACTACTACTTATGGCTTCGGTCGAGAAAGGTATGGGCCTATGGGTCGGGTTCGTAGTAGCAGACAGACAATTAAAGTACGTGGGGTCTGCTTGGTGAAGCGAAGTAGACGGGTATCCCCTAGATATCGAACGAACTAGCCACTCGTTATTGTAGCAAGGCGCCGTGGGTCTTGCGAGCTTCTGGGCATATACGAATCTCCTCGATTCCTCTATATGTAAGGAAATAGCTACATCCAAAAGAAAAGGGGAAATGGTCGCGGGACCGCCCAGGACTCTCCCAACAGTCTTTAGCCTTTTTCAGGCTAAGGCTTGAATTGCGCTCTTAGAATGGCTTGTGCTTCAAGAAAACCTACATGGCTGGAAAAAGGGAAAGTTATAGCACCAGTCCAATCCTTCCTTCTGTCTGTCGAAGAGTATGCCTGCCATGTCCTTCGTTTAATAAAGTAGGTGTCGAGAGTGGGCGCAAGTACTCCATTTAATTAGGTCCCATACTTTCCTGTCCTGAACTCAAACTAAAATGCGAACTCCTGGCTTGACTTTAGCTATAGGGACAGTTTCATTGACCTAAGATCCAATAAACTAGGGTAGGAATAGGCTTCTTGTTGATTTCATGTCTATTTAATATTCTTGTCATGCAGGTAATAGATCCTGAAAAGTTGTAAGGCCTCCATGTCTTCTATTCTAGGGAATAAGTGGAAGTATTAACTTGTTACGCCGAATTCATCAATAATCTAGGTATTAAATCATTAGATGTCGTTATTCCGACAAGTAAGGAAGGATATAGTCAAAACGCTATGCCCCCATGTTAGGACTTTAGTAGCATATGTCCTCTAAGTCTCTTAATCCCTCTCTCTCTTCCACTCTATCAGACTTTGCAAACATTCAACTGAAAGAAGGGATTGGGAGAGGGGATAAAGGGATTAGGTGAAGGGGAAGTTATTACTAATGATGGTATTCATATTGCTGAGTTGGAACACGAAGCAAGCCAAGCTTTTGGATTAAGTGAAGGCGTGAGGTATCGAACACAAGCTAAGGGTTAGTAAAGTGGCTCAGGTATAGAAAGTTACCTACTACAAAGAGTACCATAGCAATGAAGAGATAGAGATCGTCTATGGATAAGGTTGAGCTAAGCGAGGTAGACTTTACAGACTCTGGATGATCCTATGCTTAATACATTCTCCAATTCAAGTGAGATGCCGAAGGCAAAGTACTTTAAGAAGGGAAGAGCTTGGCCTATAATGAGAAAGGGATAGAGATGATGGTATGAATGCATTCATCAACAGAAGTTTAATCCTCGGATTCCCACCTACCCACCTCAGAGTTATTCATCATCGTTCTAGTACTGGCCGGCCTAATGCTTTTCCCTCTCCTATCAAGGAATAGGCATAAGTGTCTTGCTCAAAGTAGAATGTCATATGAGAAGATAATTTCAGAATCCTCCCGTTGATGCATTGCTTAGCTAATTTAGTCTATGTTCTCATTGTTGCTATGGTTGAATGGAAGGGAGGTAGGCCTTATTTAGGAGTGTACCGATGTTAACGATGGTGGTGATGGTGACCAACAAAGGCATGCCTTCTTCCCCCAATCGATAGCCTATGGCTTAAATAAGATTCTCAAATCAAATGAGAGAAGAGCCATAGTAAGTGGTCAGCATAGAATGAGCCTTCTTTCTTCCTACCTTTAGCATTACCATTCTCTCATCGATTACTGCAAACTCTACCCTTATCAGTCAACTTCTAGCTAGTGAATCTTACCTACTATTCTATTTTTGTGAAGGGAATTCTCTAGCCTCTCTGCAAACCTACACAGTCCCGGGTCTCTCAATCTTCCAATCCAGCCTCCTTTCTAGATATAGACCTGAGTGGCCTTTGTCCCTCTTATTAAATTAATTACTAGGCTTGGTCTATCCAGCTTTCCCTTCAAGGTAGCTATGGAGGAGGGCTGGCAAAGGAAGTAGATAGTGAATTGGAAGTAGGATTACTAAGTACTAAAATAGTAGAGTTATGGCTTTAATCATGTTAGGATCTTGATCTGGAGATAGGTAATAGGAAGAAGGATGTTGATCTGGCTAAAGAATGAATCTTTCATTTTCTAAGGAATAGATAAGAAGGACTAGGGGGCCTTATTTAGGTAGGAAGAGGCTGAGGATGAGGCGGTAGACACAAAACGACTCAAAGAATTACATAAAAAAGAACCAGGCCACTGGAGTTGAAATTGGAAAGAAAAGGGCAGTGGGAAAGGATCCAAGAGGAAGTAGGTTTGCGGTGAGCCCCGCCCAGCGGAGACGACCAAGGTCTGGTAGCGCCGGTTCTTTGACATGTCGAGGTGATCCCTTCTGACTAAGTGACGAAATCTTGAACTCGAGTGAAATCTTATATGAGTTCAGAAAGAAGTGGAACGATAAAGCGTACTTTTCATTCCGGGAGGAATCGTTTAGTAGGGTTCAGATTGAACTTGAAATGTAAATGTTTCAGGTAGGGCTAGAGAGTAAAGAAAAACCAAGGTTGCTCCTGTGGTTAACCCTGGGCCTGACTAAATAAGGAAATGTTGGGGATGATTCTAACAGGTCTTGCTCTGATCTAACACGGAAAAGAGGACCAACAAAGACTGCTGCTGTTGGATGTGGATCAGGTTTATAAGAAATAGATTGAAATTCGGGCGGGAAGTACAAGGTAGAGCTCGACCAGGTACGATACAAAAGGAATTGGTCAAGAGCCGTCTCGTGAAGATTGGTGTCAGAGTTAAGATGAGAGGATTGGGTTCGGTTTCAGTGAGATGTGTTCTCCGTAAGTTTCCGCGTCAAGGAACAGACAAGCACTTAGGTAATAATATCTTTCTCCATCAATAGAAAATGTGTCATGAAATTTTAGAGGTCATGGAATGTCTTTCTTTCTTAAATCTTAATTTCGCCACTTAATATAATAATTTCTTTGATTATCCTGTCACCGGTTATGTTCGCTGCCTATCTCTTTTTTTATTTGATTGGTTTTAATCCCGACCTAATTATTCTTAAACTAAAAGGTTATTTTATCCTCCACGGGTTACGTGCTATTTTTCGGCTCTTCGGTTTGGAGATTCCCTCGTTCTTGTTAGCTTGCTTGTAAAGGAGCCTGTACAGACTGTTGCAAGACTCTTTCGCCAATCCTACCGGTCCGTTGTGGTTCTTGCAGTTATGGCTTCCTGCTGACTTCCCCTCGGTCGGTTGTTTACAAATAGAATAGGGAAGAAGCATCGAATCGAATGCTGCTATTGAATGCACTGTTGTTGCTGAGTGAATAAGCGGTCTTGTCGTATCCGCTGTGAGCCTATATGCTGTAAGAAAGCTAACTGAATGCGTATCCATCCGCTCAAAGATGAAAATAGTAAAAGTCAAGATCTTATAGAAATTCCAAAAACATCTTTTTTTTATTCGCCGATCGGCTCACTGAACACCAACCAAGTCGTAACCATATTACTTTATTTCTAAATGGCAGCATCAGTGTCGGCTAAAGCGGTAAAACCGTCGATCAAATGGGGGGGCTAACCTAACCTAGTAACAGTTTAACGTAATAAAATAATAAGAATAAGAAATAAAAATTATAAAATTCCTTCCGCGTCTGATGATGCATATGCCGTGCCTGATTATGCGTATGCTTGTGCGGCTGTTTCGATTTCACTCATTGAAGAATGTCTTTACTTTGCAAAACTTGTATCTGGCGGGTTAGGTTACTAAACTAAAAAAAAAGTTATAAGGCCCGCCTTAGGGCTTTGAAAAAAGGCTTCGTACCATCAAGAATATATAGATAGATAGATTGACTCGCGGTTAGGTTAGTAGTATGCGACAAGCAGACCAAACGCCTCCCTTGGCCTCCCGACTGTAAGTCAGCCAGAAAAGAGACTTGCTATTTCCCCACCTAGGATCCCCAATAAAATAGCTTTCATAAAGTTAAAGATCAGATTGTTACAGAAGACCAGATCGAGGGATGAAATCTACTCTACCGGACAATCAAAGGCTTAAACCCTGGTCGAAGCGAAGCGCATGCGATGAGGGAAGAGACAGACCACCAATGCAAGTGGATTGACTTAAGCATTGATTTCGAAGGAGACAACATTAAGCATGAAAATAGAGCCTGCCACTTTTTCTCATTAATAATGTTACAAGCAACAACGAGAAAATAAGCTCTTGGATGCATGCCCCTATCTCCCACCCATCGTCCTGATCTTGGCTTGAAGTATCCAAGTAGCGCTAAAACGAAAAAGCGAACTATTGGAATTCTTGTCTTGGGCTTAGCCCTCTTTTACACCAACTCAATAACAAGTGTCGAACAAGGATGAAAGAAATAACATTACTAATCAAAATTTATTCATTAAACCATTCATATTACGTTACGGCAATCCTACACGCCGTCCGTGCAAGCAGGATACCGCGGTCAATGTTGTAAACAGACCTAGCATCATACCATCAGAGCTCAATTAAAGTAGGAATCGGCCGGTATCGAGCCGTCGCAATTCCTTGGGCGCTTCGTGGCCCCGTTAGCTGTTAGCTGGCTAATAAAGACTTACGTAAAGAGGCATTCCGAGCCTAGAATATGGATGAATAAGAAACCTTTTAATATCACCGGATAGCAGAAAGATTTTTGTTCGCTTGGCTAATATAAGGGAAATGGACGCCTGTTGAGATGGCTTGTAAATATGTCAGAAGATCTCTTTGGCCTGCGGTCGGGAGCTTGAGAGTTATATGCCTTGACTAGTCAGACTGTGGATTATTGGCATCTATCAAATCTTGTCACCCCGCTTCTCTATAAAGGAAAAAAGGGAGGAATCACGTCCGCCTATACGTATTATTCTGACCAATATGGTCAGATCCTTTTTTAAGAAAAAATCTCCAGACTAGCGTTGTTGACGAGATTGATTAGTGCCGCACTTTGACACCTTAACTGCTTCCTGGTACGGAAATAGCTTCCCCATAGAAGATAGGCTTTATTTAACGTAGCTTACTTTACCGTCAGCTCAATTTGAATAGTTTTTCGCTATGTTCGCAGGCAAGTGAGACGATCCATAAATGCCCTTATCTGCTTCGAAAGAACGGGTGTCATCCAAACATGGTGAAAAGGTGGCAACTGGATCAATAATAGTTGTAACTTCTACTGTACAGGGTTCGGCTTGCCCAACTGTCCTAGCTTAAGGGAGAACTATTTTTTAATATAGAAAGCAGACTCAAGGTGCGAAGTAGCTTTCATCATGAGGAGTCGTAGGGCGAAAGGAGTAGAAAGATCTTAATTCCTACAAAGAGGAAGGGGTCGAATGATATAGGTAATGCATATGATATGGAGGGAGAAAGCCTTTAGCTTTTCTTCAGTTTTTCTGTGTCGGCTAAATTTCATTTCTACTTGAAGGCACCTCTATTATAATAACGGCCTGCCTAGCAACATCTTTTCTGGGTAAGTGACTCTCAAACTCCGGAGAAAGAGCCCCACCCCAATTCGGATTCGAACCGATGTTGCCTATTTCTTAGGGCTTCAAGAGCGTGACTCTTATTTATTTATATAAACCATTTTTAAGTCTAGTTTTCCACAAGGCATGCAAGCGAGGCATATGTGGAAGAAAAAAGTCAAGTTGGACAAAAGAGAGAAAGCACTCGCGGCACACTGAATATATCGACAAATAAAAGTAGTGGTCATGAATATACACCGGCGCTGCCTACGCGGTCTTGGGAAATGGTTGCTTGTCAATCAACATTCGTTTTGCCTTATCAGGAAACATCAATCTTGTCATGTATTGCACGGCGGAAGGCTACGCAGTTAGCTGTGGCGTGACTATTACTGGCATGAAACTAGCATATGGGTTTCTGTCCCTTTAGTGCGTCTAACTGGACTTGATGCTCTGGGGACCCAACTAACCCTACTTTTTCCAAGCAATCATAGATCTCATCGGCCTTTGAGACATCGTACGTGAAGTCACGTGGCCGATTGCCAAATTTTCCTGCAGTCCGCTCCATACCAGGCTTGTTTAGCATGGCAGCCTTATTGGGTGGGGCTTTGCGTAGAGCAAGGCAAACAACTGGCTTAGTGATCTTGATCTCCGCCACTATTGCATCAAGTCCGAATTTTCGCAACAAGCGCTCGTGGCGAGTGACCTTGATAGCTAAGTCACAGAGATCATTGAATTGCTGGAGCGCAGTGTAGTTTTATTCGTTGGGCTCAAGGTTCGTGATCAAGACCGATAACGTGGCTACGAGCTCTTTCCTTACTCAGAAGAGAGCCCAACCCCAAGCGGGCACGGTGGCAAGACTTTCTGGTGGGGTTCGACATGGTCCTCGAGTACAAGCCCGGGAGGACCAACCAAGTTGCCGACGCACTAAGTCGAAAGGCCGAGTTGGCATCCAACAAGTTAGAAGAGATAGAAGACATGAGCCAACTCAAAGGGGCCATCCCCGAACGCATAAGAGAGGGTTTGGAAAATGACCCCGTAGCCCAGACCCTGCTGAAAAACGTGAGAAGCTTCAGTTAGAAGTTCCGCTCGAGTAGAACGGTTGTTGGTGCTCTATTTCATATCCTCCTCCTGTTGGTTGGTGAGTTACCTCTTCCCTTCCTTTCCATTTAATCTCTGACAAAACCTACCTTTCAAACAACAAGAGGACCCCTATAAAGCCCCTAGTTGCCACAAGGAAGCTCTTTGTTATGAAGAAGCCACAAATAAATAAGAGGAAAATTAGGGTCTCAAGCATATAGGGGTTGGCTACGAGCGGCACCCTATAGCTATAGCATTATGCGTGTGTAGATCCTTGACAACACAGAGGAAGTTGGAATAAAGATGGCATAGCTTTGGCGGTCATCGCAAAGGTGTCCTACCAATATCATTTTTTTAGAGATGAGACAAATGCAGCCGGATTGCTCGTCATATGATGGGTAGCCCCACTACAACATGGGTGGTATAGTCTTTTCCTTATTGTGTGGAAGATTCGAGTTTGGAATCACCTCCGAGGCTTCATGGTGTAAGAATGGACTTAATTCACCTGAGAGAGTTGTGCTTTTATTTTTTAAACTTGGGTCAGTGGTGAGAAGGCCAAGAAAGTGGTTAAAACCTTCATCGCATCGGTTGGAACCTCAAGGTGGTATTTTTGTCCTGTGGAAGAGCAAAGATATATCAGTGGATGTCCTTCAGGATGACTCTCAGTTCGTTCATATGAAGGTAGTTCAGGAGAAGAAGAGCGAGTGCTTATTGATTTCTCTCTATGTGAAACCTATGGAAAGTCTGAAAGCCTGGCTCTGGAAGCAAGTTCTTCAGATGTGGGAAGTTTAAAGATTGAAAGCAAAATCATTGATCTTGGGTACCTAGGCTCTCAGTTTACATGGCGAGGCAAAAGTCTCCAGGGTTCAGTCGTGTGTATTAGAGCTTAGATAGAGCTCTGTTTAAGATGGAATGTCATTTTTCCCAGAAGTTGCTGTCTGGAATCTGCCTCCAGTCAAATCCGATTACCACCCTCTTTCTTCTTTTTGACCTGCAAAGTGACCTCAGCCGGCATTCCAGAGACCTTTGTTCTTTGAAGCGGCTTGGTTGACTCATACTCATAAAGAAAGGCTTGCTTATACGTCTTTCTAGCATACGCGCGCTTACGCATGTGATATTATCACTGCAAGCAGAAGTAGGGAAGTATATGTGATTGGGGAGGAGGATCAGGTACGAATGAAAGCCAATGGTGATTCATGACTATGAACATCCGGAGAGGGCATCCATTTATTTCTTCTTATGTTCCTCAGAAAGAGTTACTGAAAAAGTACCTGCTCCATTTCAGTATACCAATAGACATGCGGCCATGGAAAGATGATTCTCAGATAGTGACTGCATGGAAGATCCAGTGCTTGTCCCTTCGCCGAAGTACCTGTACAGTTATTCCGACAAGCTACTATCAATGAGCCATACCTTAGTCTTAGTCCAATAGCTAACTTGGCTGGAGTAAGCGGAATCGCCAGGAGCGGAAAATGCTCTACTTCCGAGGAAGTAGAAAGACAGAGGAAAGGCAATGAAGGTTACCCAGGGTTTGCGTAGAGAAAGGATAATGGAAGTGGTAAGGCAACGGGAACACCAAGACAAAATACCCTTTGGTATGGTTTCAAACCTAGATTCTATTTAGTGAAACCTTAGCTCGTGTTATCATAAAAGCGCCAAGTCACTTCATCCAAAAGAAGGTGAATGATAAAAAGAAAAGCTAGTTGACTTCCATTCCAAACTTCAACCTCTATGAGGCTTTGTGGTGCTGGGATGGAGATAGGGGGTCCTCTTCTAATATAATCCATAGCATTTAAGGCTTAATCACTCCGTATAGACACACCTAGACTACGAAGCTAGGGTAAGGAATCTTCTCACGCAGAAGCAGAAGGAAAGGAATTATTAGCATTGAAGCTGAGGGGCTTAAAAGTACGGTAGTCTACGTTAGTAGTGATTTTCCTGTCGGAGTAAAGAGAATGGCAGGTCTTGACTGATAGGTCATACCCTTGAGGACCAGATTAACCCTCTTTTTCTATCTTTTTAGTTAAATATCAAACCATTACTATAAGGATAGTAAATATAGTCAAAGATATCCCCAGCACCTTATGAAAGAAAAACTCTCCATAGTCAAGCTTAGACCTAAGGAAATTCCTTGGAGCGGAGCTAGCACTCACACTGGATTCCCTTCTTTCAAGTGCCAAGGGAAAGGCATAATCTATAGGGAGGGCCAAAAGAGACGTTCTTCTAGCAAATAGAGTTGATTAATATATTATTATTTTAACTATATTTTCATTTAGATGATATTGAGAATTGTCCAGGTCAGTTACCATTAAGACCAAGCGCCTTGCTTGATAGCATCAAGAGGAGTACGATGGAAAGGCCTAAGCTATACGACTTGGCTCCCAAATAGTATAGGATTTGGAAGCCGTGTTCCCGACACCAAGAGAGATACTTCCCTTGACAACGAAATAATAGCATTCGGGGGGTGGTAAAATCTCTATAGTCTACGTCTGCAAGAACATGAGAATCTATCTCAATGGGAAAGTCTATATATTCTCGCATTCTAAACTAAAGTTACGGTACCAACGACTACGTTCGTATCCTGATCCTACTCTTTCATTCAAACCTAAGATCATGAATCTCCTGAGCTCATTCATAAGAACCTAGGCAAATAGGCCCAAAAGAGGCTTTTTTCCGGCACACTTGAAATGTCCGTCTTCGAGGGGTTGATACCAATTTTATCGAGAGTGGCAGAATTCCAATTCAAGTTTACGAGGGAAAGGTGCGATTCATCAACAAAGGGATAAGGATAAGGATACGCAGGCGAGAGTGTTTAAAACATCAGTCATTGAATAGGTTACCCGGGATCATTTTCCTAGACGAGTAAGGAGAAGAGCATGACTGCGAGTGGATCCGCTAGCTTCATTTCCCTGTCTTGTGGCGGGCTAATAACTAATAAATGGAGGAGTCGTTTCCAGGCTATCGAGCGGACCACCATTATAGTGGGGCATGATGTCCCGTGGGGATAATATCCTAATCTTCATCAGTAAATGGCATAAGTCAATTGTTACGAAAGAATGAAATTT